TCTCTGTTTCTGTATTAAGCACTGAGGCATGAATGTAGATTTCACTATAACATGGTTAGGCCTTAATTTGAAGACTTGAGTGGTTGCTTTTTGACCATCATAGGGCATCTTCCTTGTAAATCAACAACACAAAAGGTGTTCTTTATGGATAGTGCCCTAAATTTTCAGTTCTTTCCTCTAGGTGTGCCGTATTCAAATGGAACTATTTGTTCCATAATCATGAAGGCTGGAGTCAAGGAAAATGTTTCTGGAAGGGGTAGAAGAGAAAAAGCTGTCCATCCCAAGTGGAAATCTCTTTCATGTTTATTAAGCTTTGTCCTGATAACTTAAACTGGAACCTCAACTTTGAAATGAACGCACAGTTTAAAAATGGTCCATTTATCTTATATTTATCATTAAAGAAAAAATGGCTAAAGTTTCAATTTGGGTGGCAGCATGTCTTGAATTTTCTTTAACCTTTTATCTGAATTTCTATTTTAATGAATAAAAAGCTTTTCTCATAATTGCTGTCTTTTTTTTTTAGATAACTCATAACTGGACTCTGAAATAATAAGATTTCTCATTTTGCAATCTGATTGATAGTCTATTAGTTGTAGATTTCAGATGTTTGGTCCTGTGGTGTTACACTATATGTGATGTTGGTTGGAGCTTACCCCTTTGAGGATCCAGAAGATCCTAGAAATTTCCGTAAGACAATTGCGGTAAGAGTTCCCTGGTCAAACAGATAAGAATCTGCTTTCCAACTTAAACCACAGCACTAAAATTGGTTGTTACTTTTACAGAGAATAATGAGTGTTCAGTACTCTATACCAGATTATGTACGTGTATCTGCGGATTGCAGACACCTCCTTTCTCGCATATTCGTTGCTAATCCGGCACAGGTAAGATTTCTCTGAGGTATTTTCCTTGTACAAAGGACTTCAAAGATTTTGCTGAGATATGGACATGGAGAAATGATGGAAAAAGCAGTGAAGGGAACATTTAGTTTTAGTATGTGAGGTTTTTGGATGATGTTTACAAATTGTTTTCTTTTGAAGAGGATTACAATTCCAGAGATTAAGCAACATCCTTGGTTCCTTAAAAATTTGCCAAAAGAGATTGTAGAGATTGAGAAAACAAAGTACAAGGAAAAAGAAGGGGATGGAGCATGTCAGAGTGTCGAAGAAATAATGCATATCATACAAGATGCTGGGATTCCGGGGAAAGAAGGGAAAACAGGTGGTGGTGGTGGTGGGGAATCAGACACAGATGATTTAGAAAGTGAGGTTGATGTCAGTGGTGACTATTTGCCTAATTTATGAAACAGTCCTATTTAGAATTGGCTCTTTCAAATAATTTGTGGCATTGTAAAAAAGTGGACTCTGTTGTGCTCTGGGAGCAGATAAAAATCTTTAGTGAATGTTATATTATTATTTTTTACTTTCTATCTCATACCGTTAATTCTTTTGGTGTCCCTTTTCTTAATCTACGTATCTAATTAAATGAGATTTTTTTTCTAGTTTTTCTCGGGTTAACCAAAAATTAAGATATTGATTGCATGAGTTTTAAATTTGAATTTTGATTAAATTAATTTAATATTTTATTTTTTTTATCATCATAAATAAATAAATAAAATATGAATATTTTAACTATTGTTAAATTTTAACAATGATAACACCCTACCATTGAACTATAAAATTCTAATTAAAAATTAAAAATTTTGTTAAATTTTAGTGGGGGTGGTGAGATTTCAGACATAAAATTAAAATAACTAATATTCACTAAGTATTAAATTAATTAAAAGAACATAATGGAAATTATAATATTTATAGCTTTAAAGTTTGTATTTCATTGAGGGCTGAAATTAACCAAGTGGCTAACTATAAATCTATCACTTCTAAATATACGAATACGATTTGTTTCAAACCTTGTATTGACTAAATTAGTTAAAACTTAAGCTTTAACCCTCGCAGATTATATAGCTTGATCGTATAAATTTTATTAATAGAAAATAGGTGTAGTATAAAATATAATCTTAATACATAATCTTATTAATATAAAATAAAATATATATGTAAAAGGTTGAATTTGATGAATAATATTTATCATTGGATAAATTATAACATCTCGGAAGAAAATATCTACCACTTCACGATATTGCATGCATTAATGCAATTTATCAAATTGTGTTTTTATTTTTTATGTTGTGCTTTTTTTTTAATAATATGTATACATATGTTATTTTTTGTTAAAATTTAATTTCTTTTGGTTAATAGTCTATATTTATATATTTATTTTTTATTTTATTTTTTTTTTTTACTTTTACTGCATATTTATATTTCTTAAAATTAATGCTATTACATAGGTATAGTTCATCTTCTTTTTTTTTTTGTTTGGCGTTGTAATTTTTTTAGTTTGATTTATGTATTTATTTTTGGTAAAATCCTTTTTATGTATTTGGTGGTTATGTATTTGATTTGATTTGATTTGATTTTTGAGTCCTTGTATTCATAATTTTCTACTTGTTTTATTATTCTTATGCTTTCTGTAAATCCCTATCGGTTCATATAAAAATATATATTTTATAAAAATTGAAATAAAATTTTCTTGTTAATTTAAATTTCTTGTTTCTTCCATTACGGCCATCTTGAAAAATTGCATTTACACTTGATATCACTAAAGAAAGATGATTATTAACAAAACAAATCACATTTTTACATATTCCCAAAAATTCAATCATATTTTTATTTATATAAATACACCAATATAATTTACTTTCGTAATTTACCCTTATAAATTGATGAGACTTTGTTCATGTTCATAGTGGTGAAATCGGTTTAGAAACTATAACTATTACCAGCTAAACACAAACACTTATACTAGAGAACATAAGAAAACATGTGGAGAATATAAAGCAGAGAACAGATTCCAATGAATTAACCAGCATCGATGCAGCTTCAGGGATAACAGCAAATATGTGATCAAAATTAAAACATAAATTCAATAGTACCCAATTCAGACTTAGTCCTTCTAGTATAGAAATGACAATCATGAGCAAAAATAGTAGCATCTTACAACTAGAACTTACATAGCACTACAAGCTGGTAATTTAGCTCTCAGTTTGCTCCCTCAGCCTCCTAATGGTGCTCCTCACTGTCACAGCACTGGCCGTGCTGTTAAGTTAATAACAAAAATCCTGTATTAGTAACTTGGAGAGAAAATTTCAAACAAACTTGATGGGGCAAATAGATGATGAGATAACGGAGTTAGGATCTTACTTCAATGTGTAAGCACCACCGGCTTTGACTTTCCCGCAGTCCTTACAGCCCCAAATTCCAACAGCCTTTCTCTTCACTGCATACTGTTGAAAGACAATATTATAAATTAAAGGTTTGTTTGGAAGAGGAGGAGATTAAATTGGAAATGTTCATGAGAGGAATATTTAATATTGTTTAGGAGACAATTCATTAATGGAATGGAAAAGAAAAGAAGGTGATTTATTTCCATCCCTTGTCCCTAAATGACCTCAAATCTTCCTACTCCAAATTGAGTAGAATGGACAGAGACAATTTTAATTATGTTAACAAATAGTAGTTTAATTATTACTAGTGAAATTATTACCTTTTGCACATTAATAATAATTTTACATTCCTCCCTCTTATCCAAACAAGATAAAACATTCTACTCCTCATTAACATTAGTATCTTATCCAAATAATATAAAAAAAATTTCATTCTATTCCATTTAATATTTTCCATTCAATTCCGTTAATTCCATTGCTTAGCCCTGTCTTCCAAACAAAGTCCTAGTGGGAACTAATCATGTGCTACGATAGCGTGTAGAATGCTACTATTTGAACAGCATGTTTCCATGCATAACTATAAAGAGACCATACTGTACCTTTCCACAGAACTCGCAGAAGTATTTGCTGTGCTGACTCACTTCCATCTTCTTAATTTGCTTCCTCAGACTAGCCCCATATCGGGTACCTGATTCAACACATTAAACAGTTAATACATAAATCCTAATTTTTCACCATTAAATGAGACAAAAGCCCAGCAGAGTGCTTCTCAAAATTGAAAATAAACGAGACCTATCCCGATACTATGCACTTACCATATTTTCCAACAATACCAGCCTTCTTAGTTCTCTTGGTCTGAAAAGCAAAATCATGAAAGTTAAACCAAGAAAATGAGAACAGGACAAAATTAATTCACCGAGTAAAACCATGAACAGCAATAAGAAAACAAGTATTAAATCCTTGCATAGGAGTGATACCACAAACAAAAAGTAAAACAATTGCTTAAAAATCAGAACGTTATACTTCATAGTTCAAATTTTTCTTGTCAATAATCTCCAACCATTTAACATTGAAAAAGCAAGTAAACAAAATCATGGAAGTTAAACCAAGAAAAGGAGAGCACGCAAAACTAATCCATCGAAGAAAACCATGAACAGAAATTAAAAAAAAAAAACAGGCATTAAATCCTTGCACACAAGCGATACCAAAAACAATTGCTTAAAATTAGAACGTTATACTTCATAGTTTAAATTCTTCTTGTCAATAACCTCCAACCATTTAACATTGAAAAAGCAATTATACAAAATTGTGGAAGTCAAACCAAGAAAAGGAGAGCATGAAAAATTTATTCACCGAAAAAAAACCATGTACAGCAATAAAAAAACAAGTATTAAACCCTCGTATAAGAGTGATGCCACAAACAACAGAAGCAAACAATTGTTTAAAATAGAACATTATACTTTATAATTTAAATATTTCTTGTCAATAACCTCCAACAATTGAACATTGAAAAAGCAAGTCCACAATATTGTCATAGTTTTTTCTCACCGTTTAGCACAAATAAATGCATTTTACCAATTTCTACAACAATTTATGTATTGAATCGCTAAAGCTTCTCTCCTTCAGTTCATTGCTCAATTGAATGAGAACGATAGATAACCAAAACTGAAATTGAAAAATTTTCGGCTCTGAAACGAAATAATTGTTTTACCAGTAAATCCACTAAAGAAACATGTCAAACGAAAACAAACCAACTAAGATAGACTTAAATTTGCAGAGTTACATATATCGACGAATACATAATGTATATGTACACATCCGTGTAATAAGACACGTAAAACAGGGAAAACGACACATAAGAAGATAGATGTAGAAAAGAAGAAGAGCCAAAGCGCACCAT